TTTATATATGTTTTATTTTTATCTTATTGTTGTGTTGGCATCGAATTGTACCTTTTGTAAGCCGCCCTGAGTCCCCCTCGGGGGTTGAGAAGGGCGGGGTAGAAGTGCTAGAAATAATACATAAATAAAACCCAACCCATTAGTAGTAAAATAGTGTTCCTTATATAACTGTGTGTATGTATATATATAAATATATACACATGCATATGTGAGTATGTGAGTATGTGTGTATACACACACACACACACACACACACACATACATTCATTCAAGTCAGGGATGGCTGAATCTGTAGATATAGAATCCATGGGTACGGAAAGTCGACTATACAAACAGCTCATTTGATAATTTGAGTCTACTTCAGGAGAGATAAAGTGGGGAATAATAAAAATAATACGAAATCCAGCATATATATCTCGTTTGTATAACAAGATATATATGCTGGATTTCGTATTATTATCACGTATTATTTCATATTATTATTATACTGTGTTTTTGTGTCAGTAAAATAGTAATAACAATTATGATGATGATGATGATGATGATGATGATGATGACAACAACAACAATTTTGAGCCTGGAATACACTGTGTGTGCACTGAAATATCTGAAACCAAAGAGGTCACTGTCTTAGCCATCTAAATGGACGATTTTGCAATATTTTGAATTTTGGAATTCCAGACAGAAGATGCTCAACTTGTATTATTAACAGTGGACTCAAGTAAAAATGAGTTATGACAAGGATGCATCCCATGCTGAAATAATAAAAATCCAAGTCTTCCAGAAATAGGACAAATATTTTCATTGGAACATATGGAGATAAAAAGATAACGCATCAAAAACTCAACCAAATATGGAATGTATCAGAGCCGCAGTGGTTTGAGTGGGAGGACCAGGACCCTAAATCACGGTTCGACCACAGAAGCACATTGGATGGCCTTGGGGACATCACACTTTCTCAGTCTCAAGAGGGAAATGATGGTCAACTCTCTGTGTCCAAAGCTAGGTCCTCCAGTGAGGTTACTATAGAACAGGCATGAGCCAACTTCGTCCCTCCAGGTGTTTTGGACTTCAGCTGTTAGGAATTGTGGGAGCTGTTAGGAATTGTGGGAGCTGAAGTCCAAAACACCTGGAGGGCCAAAGTTGGCCCATGCCTGCTCTAAAGAATACCCCCCCCCCAAAGTCCTTCATTGGCCTCCCATCTTTCACATTTGCTTTAATATGGGATTCTCAGGAATTATCCATCCCTTGTGCAAACAGTTTGCCCCCACAGCATTTATGACTTCTACCTTTGATCTAAACGTTAGTTCACAATTGTAAGAGCACTTTGACAGTGGAATATGCTGCCTTGGATTATGGTGGAGCCTCCTTCTCTGAAGGTTTTTAAGCAGAGGCTGGATGGCCATCTGTCGGGAGGGCTTGGATTGTGCATTCCTGCATGACAGTATGAGGTCGGACTGAATGGCCATTGGGATCTCCTCCAATTCTATGGTTCCTTCTTCATGGACTACCCAATGTCATTGTCGCAAGCTGCTTTTGAAATAAACCACTGCATTTCAAAAGCCACAACACTCCCCATCAGTTTGAATAGGGGATTCTGGGAGTTGAGATCTCCCGAAATATTTTTTTTTAAGTCTGCTTTCTGACCACCTTGGACTCCCATAATATTCCATAGGCTGTGACTGTCAGTTTTTATCTTCAGATGTATATTTGTGTAAACTACTTTGGTTATGGAACTGAAATCGAATGGCTTATAGTTTTGACAAAATTATGGAATTGAATTGGACTGGCTTCATGGTTTTGACAAATGTTTTAATAATAATAATAATAATAATAATAATAATAATAATAATAATTTATTTTTACCCCGCTACCATCTCCCCAAGGGACTCGGTGATGTTTACATGAGGCCGAGCCCACAATACAACAATAATAAAAGCAATAACAAAACATCAATACAAAACAATCAAAATAAATCTCATAGACAAAAAATAAACAATAAACAGTAACAGTAACAACAAGCATTTGAAAATCTATGGCTGGGCCAAATGTGATAATTAAAAATTTAAAAATAATGCTGGGCATGAACAAGGTAATATACTGGGACAGAATTTTCAGCGAGAGAGGGGCGAGCAAACAATCCTAAATCAATGATAAAGTGCATTTAGAGGACCTATTGCTGAGAGTATTTCCTTATTCTGGGAAGGCACACTGGAACAACCATGTTTTCAGGCTCCTCCTAAAAACCGCCAAAGTTGGGGCATGTCGGATGTCCTTGGGCAGTGAGTTCCAGTCGAGGGGCCACCACCGAGTAGGGCCTCTCTTTAACTGCTTTTAACCTAATGATTTATCTATTGTTTTAAAGTATTGCTCTATTGTTGTTTGCTTGTATTTATGGCATCAAATTGTTGCCGAGTACAAGCCCTTCGGGGGTTGACAAGCATGGGATAGAAATGCCAGAAATAATAATAACAAGGAGGAGAAGGAGGAGGAGGAGAAGGAGGAGGAGAAGGAGAAGGAGGAGAAGGAGAAGGAGAAGGAGAAGGAGAAGGAGAAGGAAGGGAAAGAAGAAAAAGAAGTAGTGGTGTGCAGTTTTCTGGCATTGTATATTTCTGCTGCTTCTGTGATTTTTCATTTGCATTTTGATTCTGTAGCCCACTTGTCGATGGCTGTCCAGAATCAGCAGCATCCATCGCGGTCCTTTTTATCTTAGGAGTCAACCAAGCCAGTATAGACTTCGTTTTGCTTTTGCTTCTCCATAGCACTAATGGGTTAGGTGCTCTTGGTTCCACTCCTCGGCTGAGACCTCTCTGGTTTGGTTGGACCTGCTGGTAGTTACACTACTGCCAGCATAGCTCTCAGCATCCTGTTTTATTTATTTATTTACAGTATTTATATTCCGCCCTTCTCACCACACAGGGGACTCAGGGAGAATTACAATGTACATAGACATGGCAAACATTCAATGCCATAGACACACAACATATATAGACAGACACTCAGAGGCTATTAACTTTCCAGCTTCTGGCCACCAGGGGAGCTGTCGCTTCCTCATTCTTTGCATACTTTGCGTACTTCTTGGAGATTTTTTATGGTCTCGTAAATCAGTTAATTTAGCCTCCCCACAAAGTGGTACCTAATTTTCCTACTTGACAGCTGCAACTGTCTTTCGGGTTGCAAAGGTCGACAACAAGCTACACAATTTTGGTTGAGAGCTCACTCTGACCCGGGCTGGCTTCGAACTCATGACCATTTGGTCAGTAGTGATCTTAATGCAGCTGACTCCCAGCCACTGTGCCACAGTCCCCACAACATGACAAGGTGACACTCATCGGGGGGGGGGGGGGATGTTCCTTGACAAAATTGAAGGAAAAGTTGAATTATTTATTGTGTCATCAGCAACCATACCATTGTATTACATTTCTAACAGAACAAAGCAAACAAACAGATTTTTTTAAAAAAACACAGATTTTGCAAACTTGGTAGTTAATTAAATGTCCTTTGACCAGTATCTGGCCACTTGGAGTGCCTCTGGTGTTGCCGCAAGAAGGTCCTCCATTGTGCATGTGGCAGGGCTCAGGTTGCATTGCAGCAGGTGGTCAGTGGTTTGCTCTTCTCCACACTCACATGCCGTGGATTCCACTTTGTGGCCCCATTTCTGAAGGTTGGCTCTGCATCTCGTGGTGCCAGAGCGCAGTCTGTTCAGCGCCTTCCAAGTCGCCCAGTCTTCTGTGTGCCCAGGGGGGAGTCTCTCATTGGTATCACCCACGGATTGAGGTGCTGGGTTTGAGCCTGCCACTTTTGGACTCTCGCTTGCTGAGGTGTTCCAGAGAGTGTCTCTGTAGATCTTAGAAAACTATGTCTTGATTTAAGTCGTTGACGTGCTGGGGATGAGCTGGAGATGTCTCTGCCTTGGTCCTTTCACTATTGGCTGCTACTTCCCGGCGGATGTCAGGTGGTGCAATACCGGCTAAGCAGTGTAATTTCTCCAGTGGTGTAGGGCGCAGACACCCCGTGATAATGTGGCATGTCTCATTAAGAGCCACATCCACTGTTTTAGTGTGGTGAGATGTGTTCCACACTGGGCATGCATACTCAGCAGCAGAGTAGCATAGCGCAAGGGCAGATGTCTTCACTGTGTCTGGTTGTGATCCCCAGGTTGTGCCAGTCAGCTTTCGTATGATATTGTTTCTAGCGCCCACTTTTTGCTTGATATTCAGGCAGTGCTTCTTGTAGGTCAGAACACGGTCTAAAGTGACTCCCAGGTATTTCGGTGTGCTGCAATGCTCCAGTGGGATTCCTTCCCAGGTAATCCTCAGAGCTCGGGAAAAGTTGATAAGGAGAAGACTTGGTTATGGCTCACAAATGGAACACTGAAGAAGGAGACAGAAGGCCTGATTCTTGTAGCCCAGGAGCAAGCCATCAGAACAAATGCAATTAAGGCCAGGATTGAAAAATCAGCTGATGACCCAAAATGAAGACTGTGCAAAGAAGCTGATCAAACCATGGATCATATCCTCAGCTGCTGCAATTAATCCTGGCTTTGGCACAAATACTCAACATGCCCAAATGTGAATACTGGAGGAGGTTAGAGGAAAATAGACCTTGACATTTGGGAGTTGTAGTTGCTGGGATTTATAGTTCACCTACAATCAAAGAGCATTCTGAACTCCAACAATGAGAGAATTGGACTAAACTTCCTAAACAGAACCCCCATGACCAATGGAAAATACTGTGTTTTCTGATGGTCTTTAGCGACCCCTCTGATACCCCCTCGTGACCCCCCCCCCAGGGGTCCCGACCCTCAGGTTGAGAAACACTGAAATACAGGATATAAATAAATAAATAAATGCTTCATGCACAGCATCTCGGGGAAGTGGCTGATTTGTGAGTGTCGGAGAAGCTCATTCATCCGTCCGTCCGTTCAGCAATTAAGACTTAACCCCTGAGCAGAAGGAAAGCAAACGCAAGAAAATGAGCATCGGTCGCGTTGGCTTTACCTGACAACTGTGTCAAAGAGAAACGAGGCGGCAGCTGCTCCCAACAAGGCGCAGAGGAGATTGACTCGATAGGCGACGGAGCCAAAAGGCAGGAGCGCAATGGCCGATTTCGCCAGGAGAGTGAATAGCGGATAGCCCGGGGGATGAGCAACCTCGGAAAAAAGAACGGAGATGGCATTTGCATTAAGATGTCACAATGGCAGCCTAATTGAGAAATAACTCCTTTATTAGCTTAGCAACAAACACCCAGGCTGGGACCGCAGTCCTTTCTATTTCGGCGCAAAAATTAAGGGGCTTTTCCCCCTAATTTTCCCTTCTTCTCCATCAGTGCCAATTTCAAACTTAGCAAAACATTTGCTTGAGTGGATTTGGAGGATGAGAATGCACCGCCGAGAAAAGCAATGACATTCATTATTAGCGTTCCTTTAAATGGCTTGAAGTTTGGGTTCATAGTATATTAGGGTCATTGAAAAGCCTGGGTTTCCTTTTTTGGGGGGGGAGTGTGAGAGAGAAATAGATATAATTCCACAAAAAAGAGAAAGGGAGAATAGATTCTGAACTATTTTATTGGCTAGCGAGTTGAAAGACCACACTGCTATCGGATTACCACTGCGATGACAGTCCTTAAGGTCTCGCCTAAAGGGGATCATGCGCCATAATAAAGTTTATTAAATAATAAAACTTATTAAAATGGTTAACCCGATTTATTTTTTATTCTCCCCAGCTTATACAAAAAAATTTGGGTTGATAATAAGCCAAGCTACTGTATATACAGTAAAGCCTTTGCTTTATAATTTAGTTTAATTGGATTTAAAACTTGGGAAGTAAATTGTCGCGTGCCGTACTTATAAGTTAGCAAAAACTGTGGTTTGGAAAAATAAAATTAATCTACTTTAAACTCCATGCTTAATTAAACTTCCTTAATTCCTAAAACTGTTAATGAGAGCATTGATTAAACAATAAAACTCATACTTACTCCAAGCTCATAGGCGGCTGTGATCAGCTCCCCTGTGAAAAAATAATGTAAAACCAATAATTACTATTAGGGAATGACACTCCTCCCAAGTTTTCAAAATCCAAACCCTTGCGTTGGGGGGTTTTGCATTAATTTGACTGGATAAAAGTGTAAATCTGTGGAGATTTAGCAGCATGAAATTTCCCAAGAATATTTTCTTCCCTCTCTGATGCCGTTGCACAAAAATACCTTTTGTTATTTTTCCCCCCTTTACGTTTCTATCAGAAGATGCGCAAAGGTGTGATGTGCAAACACACGTCCCAATACGAACGGTAATTGCTGTAACGCTAACAACAACAATAATTCATAACCATGAGAACCATTGAAAGCGCAGGAATAATTTGCAGACGGGAAAGCAAAACATCAAGAGCCCTTGATTTCACAAGAAACCTTTCATTGTATTGTCGAAGGCTTTCATGGCCGGAATCACTGGGTTGTTGTAGGTTTTTCCGGGCTATATAGAACATGGCCATATAGCCCAGAAAAACCTACAACAACCCAAACCTTTCATTGTTCTACCCAAAATATCATATTTCTGAAATAGGAATACACTCTTGTATTCCCAAACCAGTTAGGAATTCAGTTCTTGTGGGTTTTTTCGGGCTATATGGCCATGTTCTAGAGGCATTTCTCCTGACGTTTCGCCTGCATCTATGGCAAGCATCCTCAGAGGTAGTGAGGTCTGTTAGAACTGGGGAAAAAGGGGGGGGGGGGGGGGGAAATAATAATAATAATAATAATAATAATAATAATAATAATAATAACAATAACAATAATAATAATCCAATTCAGCAGCCAGCAGAGTGATCTTGTTGTGTATATAATAATTATAACAATAATAATAATAATAAGCATCATCATCATCATCCAATTCAACAGCCAGCAGAATGTCTGCTGTGGACTCATCTTGTTGTGTTTCAAGTAATAATAATAATAAATAACAAATAACAACAATAATAAAATTAATTGCAAACAATTACTCAAAGCATTGGATGAGGATCACTTTAATGCAGCAGAGAATTCCTAATATATTTGGGAATACAAGAGTTTTGCCTTATTTTTACTGCTGCTTCTAATACTGGGAAAAATGCCAAACAAACACAAATAATGAAAACAATAAATAATAAATAAATAATGAAAATAAGGAAGAAACCATGAAAATGAACAAAATCTGGCTACCAGTATTAAAAAAAATCAAAAATTACAACAGCAAAACAACAGAGGGGAAACAAACAGGCACATAAAATCACTCTCAACAAAAGATTCCCCCCAGGCCCTTCCAAGCCATTGAATGCTAATCAAGGTGATCAGCTGAAACATTCACACCTAGCCCCAGCAGACAAAAGTCCTTTGTCCCACCCTGGTCATTCCACAGATATATAAACCCATTCTTCCTACTTCCAACAGACCTCACTACCTCTGAGGATGCTTGCCATAGATGCAGGTGAAACGTCAGGAGAAAAACTGCCTCCAGAACATGGCCATAAAGCCCGAAAAAACCCACAAGAACTGAGTGATTCCAGCCCTGAAAGCCTTCGACAATACATGTTAGGAATTCTCTGCTGCATTAAAGTGATCGTCATCCAATGCTTTGAGTAATTGTTTGCAATTAATTCTATTTATTATTATTATTATTATTATTATTATTATTATTATTATTTGGGTTTGTATTGTCAAAGGCTTTCATGGCCGGAACCACTGGGTTTTTCCGGGCTATATGGCCATGTTCTGGAGGCAATTTTTCTCCTGACGTTTTGCCTGCATCTATGGCAAGCATCCTCAGAGGTAATGAGGTCTGTTGGAAGTAGGAAGAATGGGTTTATATATCTGTGGAATGACCAGGGTGAGACAAAGGACTTTTGTCTGCTGGGGCTAGCTGTGAATGTTTCAGCTGATCACCTTGATTAGCATTCAATGGCTTGGAAGGGCCTGGGGGGAATCCTTTGTTGAGAGTGATTTTCTGTGCCTGTTTGTTTCCCCTCTGTTCTTTTGCTGTTGTAATTTTTGAGTTTTTTAATACTGGTGGCCAGACTTTGTTCATTTTCATGGTTTCTTCCTTATTTTCATTATTTATTTATTATTTATTGTTTTCATTATTTGGGTTTGCTTGGGATTTTTCCCAATATTAGAAGCAGTAGTAAAAAATAAGGCAAAACTCTTGTATTCCCAAACATATTAGGAATTCTCTGCTGCATTAAAGTGATCATCATCTAATGCTTTGAGTAATTGTTTTCAATGAATTTTATTTTTTATTATTTGTTATTATTATTATTATTATTATTATTATTATTATTATTTATTAGTATTTGAAACACAACAAGATGAGTCCACAGCAGACACTCTGCTGGCTGTTGAATGCGATTATTACTATTATTATTATTATTATTATTATTATTATTATTATTACTTGAAACACAACAAGATGAGTCCACAGCAGACACTCTGCTGGCTGTTGAATTGGATTATTATTATTATTATTATTATTATTATTTGGGTTTGTTTGGCATTTTTCCCAGTATTAGAAGCAGCAGGAAAAATAAGGCAAAACTCTTGTATTCCCAAACATATTAGGAATTCTCTGCTGCATTAAAGTGATCCTCATCCAATGCTTTGAGTCATTGTTTGCAATGAATTTTAATTTTTTATTGTTATTTGTTATTTATTATTATTATTATTATTATTATTATTATTATTATTTACACAACAAGATGAGTCCACAGCAGACACTCTGCTGGCTGTTGAATGATGATGATGATGATGATGATTATTATTATTATTATTATTATTATTATTATTTGGGCTTGTTTGGCATTTTTCCCAGTATTAGAAGCAGCAGTAAAAATAAGGCAAAACTCTTGTATTCCCAAATATATTAGGAATTCTCTGCTGCATTAAAGTGATCCACATCCAATGCTTTGAGTCATTGTTTGCAATTAATTTTAATTTTTTATTATTTGTTATTTATTATTATTATTACTTGAAACACAACAAAATGAGTCCACAGCAAACACTCTGCTGGCTGTTGAATTGGATTATTATTATTATTATTATTATTATTATTATTTGGGTTTGTTTGGCATTTTCCCCAATATTAGAAGCAGCAGGAAAAATAAGCTGCACATTGCAAACTCACACTCCTCTATATGATATTATTCAATCAGTCCTATTGTCTCAAATATTAATTACCTGCACATACTCGAGTATAAGCTGACCCAAATATAAGCTGGGGCACCTCATTTTACCACAAAAAACTAGGAAAATGTATTGACTCGAGTATAAGTCGAGGGTGGGAAATGCAGCAACTACTGGTAAATTTCAAAATAAAAATAGATACCAATAAAATTGCATTAATTGAGGTATCAGGAGGTTAAATGTTTTTGAATATTTACACAAAACTGTAATTTAAGATAAAGACTGTCCAACTGTGGTTAAACCATTAATCTAACCTTCTTCAATGTAAGTGTGCTTACATATCTTTCCAATAATGATAGAGAAAAATAATAAATACAATAAACATAATAATAATGGAGTAAAATAATAAATTTAATAAAAATAATAAGAGTAAAATAATGCAAATGTAGTCATACCAATAATAATAGAGTAAAATAATAAATGTAGCAATAATAGAGTAAAATAATAAATGTAATAAAAGTAATAACAAAATAATGAAATGTAATAATATATATAGAGTTAAATAATAAATGTAGTAATAATAGAGTAAAATAATAAATGTAATATAAAATAATAAAATAATGTAAATGTAGTAATACCAATAATAATAAGAGTAATATAATAAATGTAATAAAAATAATAATAAAGTAAAATAATAAATGTAATAAAAATAATAGAGTAAAATAATGCAAATGTAGTAATACCAATAATAATAGAGTAATATAATAAATGTAATAAAAATAATAATAAAGTAAAATAATAAATGTAATAAAAAATAATAGAGTAAAATAATATAAATGTAGTAATACCAATAATAATAGAGTAAAATGATAAATGCAATAATAATAGTCAATAAAAATAATAATAAAGTAAAATAATAAATATAATAGAAATAATAGAATGAAATAATGTAAATGTAGTAATACCAATAATAATAGAGTAAAATGATAAATACAATAAAAATAATAATAAAGTAAAATAATAAATGTAATAAAAACAATAAAGTAAAATAATAAATGTAATAATAATAATAATAATAAAGTAAAATAATAAATGTAATACAAAATAATAGAGTGAAATAATGTAAATGTAATAATACCAATAATAATAGAGTAAAATAATAAATATGGTAATAATAGAGTAAAATAATAAATGTAATAAAAATAATAATAAAGTAAAATAATGTAAATGTAGTAATACCAATAATAATAGAGTAAAATAATAAATATGGTAATAATAGAGTAAAATAATAAATGTAATAAAAATAATAATAAAGTAACATAATAAATGTAATAAAATAATAATAGAGTTAAATAATGTAAATGGAGTAATACCAATAATAATAATAATAGAGTAAAATAATAAATGTAATAACAGTAATAAAGTAAAATAATAAGTGTAATAATAATAGAGTAAAATAAATGTATTAATAATAATAAAAAATAAAACAATAAATGTAATAATAACAATAACATTATATACATCTTAATACACATTTTAAAATCATTTTACGTATCAACATTTTATGCAGTTAGCCCAGTAAAGTCTCACTTATCCAACGTAAACGGGACAGCAGAATTTTGGATAAGCGAAAATGTTGGATAATAAGGAGAGATTGGGGTTTGGAAAGATTAACTGTTTACAAGAAACGTTGCCCGGGGGAAGCCTGGCTGTATTTACTCAGTCTTTGAGGAGGCTTTTTCCATGTCTCACTACCTAAAAGAATCCCACACCTTGTGTGACTGTGGAGCAGGACAGACAACTCTGCATCTGTATGCTTTTCCACTATGTCCTGCCTCATGTACAGAGGAAGAATTGTTGG